TACACCGTTTGTACCTATAACACTTCTTGGTGAATTCAGCAATTGTGGACAATTTTATAAATCAATAGCAGGACTTCTTTTAGGTCACATTGGATGAGTTTTTTAAAATGATTTTTGCATTAATGTGATGAATTACATTGATTTGTAAAATATTTTATTTGTTGGATTAGCAAAAATAAAAAACTTTGTCTGGTTAGTTGGTAGGTTTCCCAGAAAATGTTATATCACTGTAATGTATGTACTGTAAAGACCCCAATCTGCAGGACGTGCCATCAAGACTAACCAAAAGTGAGGCAATACCAGAAGCCTGCACCCACCTTCGCCTCCATCATTCTGCAGATTTCGATATGAGAGTGTAAGATGTAGTTAGTGTGCTAGTCCTGACACAGAAAACATTTAAATTACAGTAAGTTCTTAGCTAGTTGTGTTATTAAGTTGTTAAAGCTAAGTTATCGTGGCATTACAGTATTTTTTTTTGTCTCCTGCTTATTTAGGCAACATCAAAGAAGCGAGAGAGCGCCAGGGATTCAGGTCAGCTAGAAAACATCGTTATTGTGAATTGTTTTGGCCATGAAAATCTGATATTGTGACAGCCCTAATTGGAGCAATGCAAAGTGGAGTAAATTAGAAAATACAACTTGATACGCAGTGTTGTTCTCAGAGGGTAAAAGTTGATGGTAAAATTAACACTGTGTATCTTAGCAGTTGAACAATAACCTAGACAAATAAAGCCTTCCACACACACACACACAGAGTTTACTGGCCCTGGCTTTGAACAGCAGTGTCAGTGGCAAGACACCACAGATGAGATGGAATTAAGATATTAAGCACACGTGGGTGTGTAGATCCGTGCTTGAATAGGAGACAAAGTAATTTCAAACTAACACAACAAGATAGTCAACATAAAAAGCTATTTAATGTGACATGTTAAAGGGCTAATATGTCAACTACAGGAACTGCCCATGAACAGGTCTTTCAACCAGGCTTTAAAAACACAGAACATAAAGGAGGATGCTACTTCAGTGGTGTCACACATTGGGTAAAATGTACCGCAATAACAGGCTTCAACAGACTCTAATTACAAGGTGCCATCTTGCTATTTGGTTTCTTTAACCAGTACAGAGCTGTTGTGCTCTTTAATTGGGCCCGAGACACTTCGCTGCCTTCCTTCTGAGTGGAAGTGGGAAGAGAGTGTTTAGTCACCAGATGGCTATCCTACAAAGACCTTGACATTTTGAATTTCAGGTTGCTGAGTATGGGATTAGAACAGTCTCATAAGAGTGATCTGAATCTGTAAATCTGGGTCCGGATCTATGCCTCAAATTTTGAATTTGTCTATAATCACTTGTATCATGTACTACATCATTATTATGGTTATACACCATGCGTCATCTAACATTAGGTTGTTTTATATTTTCTGTTTACTTTAACAACCATGTATGAGTGAGAAAAATGCTTAAACTAACGTTACAGGCTGTTGTTATAGTCCAAGACGGTTTTGGTGAGTTTTATTCTGCATAGGTCGAGTTTGAATTAGGTGTTAATGAGTAGAAATAGTAGCTAACTACGTTGAAGCTATTTCACAACCAGAAACATCTATTTTAAGTAATATGATAAACAGATAAATTGGTGGTGTCATTTATTCCAATCAACAAGTTGTGGGATTTTTTTTTCTACAAGACAAATAAAATGCAGTAGTAGTATATACAACATTATACACAACACTGCTTCTTACTAAACAATAGCTAGCTACTGGAAAGATACTGCTAGCTACATGACTTTGAAAACTGTTACAGTTGACTGCTACTGGGAAATGTAGTTGAACTAATAGCATCAATGGATTGCTACTCGTTACATGTAAAAACACTATCTTTATCTGACTCACCTAATTAAAGGGTAAAAGAGTGTAGGATTTAGTGGCATCTAGACGTTAGGTTGCAAATTGGAGCCAACTGCCTAGTCTACCGCTCCCGCCTCCCCGTAGGATATCTACGATGGCTGACACAGGACAAAAGGTGTTGTGGTCTGAGACAGCAGAGAGTAGCCAGTCAAGTAATGACTTGCTACTGAGCAAGTGCTACAGCTTTGATTGACATTCATTTCCCACGTGTTGCCAAAACCATGACATCCATACTTGCTGTTGCAGGAAGGTTTACTGTGTCTCCCAGCACAGTCACAAGTGCATGGAGGAGATCCCAGGAGAGGCCGTTACACAAGGAGAGCTGGACAAGGCCATAGAAGGGCTTTAACCCAGCAGCAGGACCACTGCCAGAGGCCTACAAAATGACCTCCAGCGGGCCCTGGGTTCATCTTGGTGCAGGAAAATGCTGAGGGCTGGATTACAGTAAAGATTTTGAACTATATCGTTCATTGAGATCTGATGTGTGATTCAAGTGTTCCCCTAATTTTTTTTGAGCAGCGCGTTAAGCAGCGCGTTATGTTTCGAAGAACTTAAAGAAAAAAATAGCGAGTGGCTGTTAGCTTTTCAGCATGTGGTGTTATATAAATAGCTGAAGAACCTAAATGTCACTGATGGGGAGTTTTGTTGCTCAGGAGATTGTGCTGCTGATATTCAACAACAAAGATTGTACTCATTTACAGTATGTTCTTGGTACTTTAGACCTCTTTAACATCCTGCTCCACCGAGCCATTACATAACAGAGTCTTAGCCATCAGTTGTTATGTTATCTGTCCGGAGACGGAACCATAAAGTTGGTACACTTATTGGTCTTTATATGTGCATTGATAAGCTCTGCTAAAGGCATTACTTGATCAAAGGTTGTTGCTCATCAATTTGACCTTTAAACAACAGCTGTTCTGCAGCACGAGCTGCTGCAACATAATATATTCATTATCTGTGGTTTCAGAAGGTCAAAATTAACACTTCAGAGTTTCAGATTGATCCAATCTACTACTGAAATGAATTGAAATTCAAAATAAAAGAAACAAAAATGGTAAAGCAAGCCTTAAACAATAATGACTTTATAAAACCGTGCTTAATAAAATAGATTCAGTCAGTGCATTATCCAGTCTAATGCTGTTTGAACCTGCATTACTGAGCTACTGCCCTACACACTGCTGGTAGTTTAAATGTTTAAATGCAGCAACATAAACTTTAAAGATGTCATGAAATATTTTACCGCCTTTGTGAGGAACTCTGAACACTGTCAAATCACATTAAGGCTGCTCGATTATAGCAATCACTATTATTTAGGTCAATATTGAGATTACAATTATTTAACACGATTACTCATCAACTTTAAAAACTTTATGCATTTATTGTCTTTTTAACATCTACCTAAGCTCCATAATACAAATTTACGCTCCACGATGGTGTAACAAGCTACCACACGCCATCAGAGCAGGGGCGTCCCTCTCTAACTTCAAGAAGCTCTTGAAAACTCAACTCTTCCCAGAACACTTCCTCTTACAACACCTCTAACTCCTAACCTCTAACATGCACTTCCTGTGCTCTTCTTCTATCCCCTTACAATTATCTTGTATTGATTGCACTTTTTGTTAACCCTTTCTTCTTTCCCTAGGTAATTACCCCATTAATGCAATATGCGCTATGAGCTCTTACTAGTATTTATTGCTGCTCTTACTAGTATCTATTGTCAGTTGTAGATCTCGTGCTGTATTTGATGCTTTGTTGATGCTTGTATGTCGTTTCTTAAATGTAAGTCGCTTTGGATAAAAGCATCTGCCAAAAGCATCTGCCAAAAGGTGTAAATGTAAATTATTACCTTGAACTTTAAATGTAATTCTACTGAAAAATTTTTTAGAAAAAATCTAGTGTTACCGGAGGTTGGTTGACGTGGCTCTGAATGCTCAAAAATATTGGAAATTGCGTAAACGAGTTCAACGTCACTTCCAGCATCCGCTATGTTACGCTATAGAACACCTGCTAATTATAGGCCATGTTGCATATCAATGTATATATCAATACATATCAATTGTAGACCACACTTGTTGTCAGTAGGCGACGCACATCAAGTAAAGTTATTATGAATGAATCAATTCATTTACCAGCGGTTGGCTGACATGCATTTACATTTTAATACATTTTGAACATCGCATGAAGCAGTCCAATTTCACTTATCGGTCAAACTGTGATGCTAGTGCACACATACTAATTAAAATAGGCTGTCTGACTACATGTCTTCTTTGAAGTCTCTTCTAAAACACACTTATCAGACAGCAAATCCTGATTTTATCTGGACTGCCTGTTTATTTCATTGGTTAATAATCTCTTGTTCATTATTTTTTTATATGATGTGTATGATGTTGTTTTTATTTAAATGTGAGAAAGGATTGCTGAAATGTGATTCTCATCCTATTTGACCGCTCCAAGCACCGGTACCGTAACAGCACAGATAGACGCACATCCAAATCCAAGGGGCGGCCTGATCGGACTTTCGCAAAAAACGATTTACCTGACCACAGTAAGCTGACTGGAACATGCCACAGCCTGGCTGAAGGTGACTTTCGACTTTTACGGAGGTGCACCATAGTAAAGGAAAGGGGTGCACTGGATTTAGTTATCCTTTATTGATCACTGTCGTCCTAAAATAGGGGATTAATAACATAGGACAAAACAGCAAAATAATCTTTGTTTCATTATTGTTGGAGGACAAAATTATAATTGAAAATACAATTTGATTAATCGTCCAGCCCTTAACCACATTTGATGGACAGAGATTAAAAGAAGTTTTTGGTGGGGTCTTCGTTCACGCAGACACACTTTCATGGACACTGTTAGTGAGTCTGTTTCTAGCTAGCTTACAGCTAACATACATCAGAATGGAAACGTCAGTCTCCCCTGAGTGGTTAGGGCAAAATAATGAAAATGCAGTTTGTCTGATCATCAGGCAATGTCCATGTTTGTATTCACTGATGTGTGCGTAAACCTGTGATTAGATTTTTTGCCTGGTGTGTTGTGTAAGTAAATGAGGTGTCAATAAGGTGGGTGGTCTTCATTTATCATGTGACAATTCTACCGTTTGTATTCTCTTAGGGTCCTTAGTGGGGCCTTCCCGTGGTGGAACTTTCCCAAACAGCTTCCACCCTGGGTCTATCTGCACCCCTGGCCGACTGTCCTTCACCCTCCTGGCAAACAGGCTCCTGAGAGACAAATGGAGAGGGGGAATTAGACTGGAGGACAAATAAATTAGGTCATTATGCAGTAAAAAAACAAAAAGTGGAGCACAAGCTAGATAAGCTCAGAAAAGGAATCTGTGAACTTTCGGATAACAAAAGCATACAGGCCACCAAGCATTTCAACAAACTATGTGATATATTGTGAAGAAAATTATTTTTCAGTGTTTTCCCCTCACACCTTTACTTCGGGAGGCCGCCCAGGTAAATTAATAGCTGCCAAAGTATATTTGGCAACCCCTTTAAGCATTTTGCAGGGAAGCACAGAGAGAGATGTTATCTGCTATTACAAGATGTGGACACAGTGGATATTTTATAAGCACAGACCAGGTAAAGCGACAGTGAACACACCACGTTGGTTCTGATTGTTTCAATAGGCTCCGTCATTGAAAAGCCTCCTCTACATGCGACGCACCTGCTGTTGTCAAAATGGAGATGTGGGGGGAAAAAAATCCAAAAGACAAGTTCTGTGTCTTTTAGGGAACTTTATAAAACTTCCTGCTGACGGAGAAAGTCAGCGGACACATACAGGGAGAGAGAGACAGGAAGAGGCGGGGCAAGAGACCAGAGGTGAAGGTGTGTGCGTGTGCAAAAGAGAACTGAAGTAAAAAGCAAGGTGAGCAGATTCAAGTAGTGAGTAAATACTAAAATAAGGTGGAGAATAGGAATATACCTCCTAACCCCCCGCTAACATTGGGATTTGTTTTTTATAAAACCCAATGTTTGCTGAGTGGCATATGCCTTCTTTTGTGCGTACGCAATGTTTATAAATGAGGCCCCTGGTGTTCAAACACCACATGCAAAGCGCACTGTACCATTTAGCCAGCTTTTCCTTTCATTTATCCATCAGTGCGGCGCTGCCACAGAGCTGTTAGCAGGGGCTTTAATTAAAGGCCTGAATAGAGCCTAGCTGTGAAAAGACATGTATGAACTGGTCAAACAAAAAGCCTCTTCTGACCAGGACACATGACATAACTAAAAGAGTCTATATGCTGCTGAATACCATCGAGAGGCACTTCACCTTGGCAACTGCCTTATCTGATGATTTTGACTCATCCATTAATAGGAAATATTTGCTATATTTAACATTAATAAGCATTTGCGCTGAATAACTTGTGTTATAACTAGGTAAAAATGTATCATCATTCGATATTGATAATTATCATGATAAATGTCAAATCATTATTTCTTTCAAATTGATTTCAAATGACTAGTAAATCTGTTTCAGTCCCTTTTCCTCAACAAAAGAAATATTTTAATAAAAACATTAAGTGCTAATTTGTTCGTGATTCAAGTGAATTAAACCAAATATTTATTGCCGATTTATTGAACATTTATTATATTGTTATTGAGGATTGTTATTATTATTGTTTTATTGCCAGCCCTAGTTAACACCACTAAGCCCTGACCCAGTGGACCCTGGAGAGATGGAAAGGTGGTGTAACTACACAAGTTGTCTCCGTTGGATCAATGACCTTCTACTAGCTGACTACTACCCATCCTGTCCAGACCTCTCTGGTTCACGTCCAAGGTAGTGATGACAGGAAACACTCTGTCACAACACTGAGCAGACACATGTACAGGCTGCAGGCTTCATTCACGGATAGATGACTGTGTCTGCCAGTGCTCTGCAGAATGAGTATTTCACTCGGGCAGAGGTCTGTTGTCTGTTCCAGAGTCTCGACTGAAAACTAAAGGGGACAGAGCGTTTGCTGTCAGGGCCCCGACGTCCTGGAACAGCCTGCCCGAGGAAATCAGGTCGGCTGAGTCAGTGAACTCTTTTAAGTCCCTTCTTAAAACATACTTTTATAGGAGAGCCTTTCCTGATCTTATTTGACTTTATTTTATCCCTTTTATTTTATTCTATTTTACTAATTTTATATTTATCTTAAACGTGTATTTTAGTCTTTTCAATCTTTTCATGCTTTTATCTTGTATTGTTTTTGTATTATTGTCTCTTGGGTATTATTGTCTTTACACCTGTTAAAGCACTTTGTAACTTGTTTTTGAAAAGTGCTCTACAAATAAAGATTATTATTATTATTATTACTAGTACTACTCACATATGCTCCTAAAAATATATCCAGTATGTGCAAACAGCCAGGAAACAGTATGTTCAGACGTTATGTGTGAAAAATAATGTGAGTGAGTGAGTAAAGACTTTCTAAGAACTATAACTGACAGCAAACCTTTCTTTTTTGGAAAGTTCTTTCTTTCGATTTTCTTTCTGTCCTTCTTTTAATCCACATTAGCATCAGCATAGTCTATTCTTACTTCGGTCCATTCAATTGTATATTCATAATAAAGCATTCATTATTTAATAACTTAACCAAAACTGCATGAGGTTACAGGAAGTTCTTTCACACTAATAAATCTTTTTTTATTTCTTTCACATCCCGACACACGGACACAGCAACACCTCGTACTGCGCGCACATCGCCATGACCCCTCTTTCTGTCTCTCTCCCCTTTATCTGCTCTGTCGACTTCCTTCGTCAGCAGAATGTTTTAAAACAGTTGCCCAAAAACCACAACCAGCCTACTGAAATCGTCGAGACCAAATGGGTTACCTGGTCTGTGCTTGTAAAATATCCACCTTGTCCCCGTCTTCTAACATAATACCAGATAACGTCTAGTGCTAAAATGGGTGTATTTGGCGGATACGTGAGATACGTGATCAGGCCGATGAAGCTGAAAACTGGCCGATTCCAGTCACCGGCTGATTGATCGATGAATCTTTAGTCTTTTACGTCCCCCAACCATTTCATAGTGACTAGAGACAAGTCATACTTCACCCAGACCAAAATCTAGGTTTGAATTTCACGAGAAAAAAAAAAAAAGGAAAGTCAGTGAACACAAGGCTGCGTGGGCCAGTACAGCACATTTAACATTTTTTACTTTTCAGTGGTAACTCCTCACTCTTGCAGCTTTAATAGTGGCATGTTTTGTGTCAGTCTAGCATATTATCCACTCTGCTTTCTGATACTGTAGCACACTAAGATAATAAAAGCAGTGGAAGGTATTTCCTGATTCAGCAGTGACTTAAGGATTTAATAAAGTTGATGACAACACAGACATTAAAGTCTAACACATGTTCTGACATATTGAGAACACAGTGCACCATTCATCAGTGACATTGAGGCTTATCTCATTCAGCTATTTTCAGAACTGCACATGGAAAACACACTGAAAGATAACTGCTCAAAGACACGAGACGTCCGATAAAACCGTTTGCACTCATGCATAGAGCTACTAAGAGAAGCTGTCATTTGAATACGGGAATAACTGCTATAATCAAAGTAACCCAAATTTTAAAAAGTAAGTAAACATCAGCTTTCAGTTCACAAAGAAGCAGTGGAAGAGAATGAAAAAGATCTAAAGAGAGGATGATATCAGAGTCATGAGTTTGACCAATAAGTAGTGAATTGACAAAAAAAAACAACAAAAAAAACAAAAAAAACCCTCTAGGTCCGATTCTCAAGGTCTCCATAACCGTTTGGACACATTCATGACCTATGCTCATTATGTGACCAACATTTGATGCTTACAGTAATTCACGTGATGATGAACCATTTCTGTAACAACTGAGCTCTGAACTGAACTGACTCCTCTGAAGAAGACCTTGAAACAAGACCTTGAAACAAGGTTGAAAGTTCTGGAAATTTCTAAAGATAAACTAAACTAAAACCTGAACCCTGTGCAAAGAGTTGTTTTTAATCAAACTACCATTTCCAAGATCAATAATGAACATTCAAACTCAACCAATGATTTACTGATGAACTGTACAATAACAACGTCACAATTTGTTAACAAATGGATTCTTTTTGACTTTTAATAAAAACCTCATATCATCCATCTGCAATGCAGAGCTAAGCTGAGGAGAAAACAATAAAATGTATCCAAGATCTGAACTATGGGGAGCGGTGAACTTGAGTAACCCTGTGAGCCACCATAAAACAATGCTGCATAGATCCAGTGCAGAGGGCCACCTTTACAAAGCAACACCTGACTTTAAGTCAATTCTCGATTTACAACAGGCCTGCAAACACTCACGAAGGTGAACAAAGGAATGTTGAGTGGCAGTGGGGGGTGAACCTAAGCCTGTTTATTACTTTACGACCCTCTCTAACTTGGTAAACTAAAACTTCCACTGTACCAATATCCCATGATCTGGACTCCAAAGAAATGACTTTGCTATGCAGAATCAAAATAGATTAACTAATATGATATGTTTAAATGACAATAAGAAGAATGTGTATCTTGTTATGCTGCTGCTGATAAAGAACAATAAAGACTGAACTAACAGGATGTTTGGTAATTTGGGACACGGCTTCATTAATTCAATCCTTCATTCATCACAATATACAAGGTTGGTTAACCTTATACAACACAAGGTTGTATTACAAAATGAGTTTGTAGTTCCTTCATGCTTCATACACAGAACTTAAAAGATAGCCTAATTAAATGTTTTTTTATTTTACCTTTATTTAACCAGATGAGTCTCATTGAGATTAAAATCTCTTTTGCAAGAGAGATCTGGCCAAGACGCAGCATAAAAGAACATAAAGAACAGTTTCCAACATATAAAAGACATCAAGTACACATACATACACTGCTCAAAAAAATAAAGGGAACACTTAAACAACACAATGTAACTCCAAGTCAATCACACTCCTGTGAAATCAAACTGTCCACTTAGGAAGCAACACTGATTGACAATCAATTTCACATGCTGTTGTGCAAACGGAATAGACAACAGGTGGAAATTATAGGCAATTAGCAAGACACCCCCAATAAAGGAGTGGTTCTGCAGGCGGTGACCACAGACCACTTCTCAGTTCCTATGCTTCCTGGCTGAGGTTTTGGTCACTTTTGAATGCTGGCGGTGCTTTCACTCTAGTGGTAGCATGAGACGGAGTCTACAACCCACACAAGTGGCTCAGGTAGTGCAGCTCATCCAGGATGGCA